CCCGGGGCACGGGCAGGGGGTCTGGGCAGGGGTCGGGCTGAGGAGGAGACCCCGGCCGGGTGGCACCGACGGGTCAGCCTGTTTCCCCTGCCGCACGCGCGGGAGAGAGCCCAGCTCAGCCTGGAATTTAGCTCTGGGCTCACGACTGATTAAAATATTTATGAATCCCATTGCTGAGACGGAGCAGGTAAAAAGTCATTTGAGAAAAGCTATTAGAATGGGTCTGTCTGCGGGGAAACATTGCTCGTCGTTTTTCAGACGTGGTACAGCACTTTGGCCAAAATATGTTTGTGCCTCATACGGGGGCTGTCAGGGAGCAGAGGGGTTGCAGGGATCCCCTGCGTGCAGGCACCCAACTCCCTCGGTTTCCTTGAAAATCTAATGGATAAGGGATGAGCCCAACATTCTTGATATGGTATTCATTTTCAGAGGGAAGCCTGAAAATACTATTACCAGTACTATTACTATTACTAATTTTTCCTCTGAGAAATGTTTTATTATAGGACATTTAGACTTTAAAAAGGCAGCTATATTCATAAAAACCTAAAAATTTATTGAAGGACACAACAATAAAAATGTAAGAAAAGAAACTTCTGGCTAAATGCAACAAATGGGATGCCTCCTCGCTCAACGGTTAACATTTCATATCAAAACGCTAAGATCTTCATACTAAGGATGTATGGCATTGACAAATGATGGGACAATCAGCACCCGATATTAATACTAAAATACAGATTATTGCTGCTGTTAGAAAATTCCAGGAGGAAAAGCTCTTGGGTTTAGTAGGAGAACAAAATAAAAAGTAATCCTGAAAAAGAACAGTTAAGTCAGGGAGAGCATAAGCTTAGTAGCCCATCCGTTCACATACATAAAGATTTTGATTAAAATCTGGCTTAAAACTAGTAGACAGAGGATTAAACACTTATGATATGACATGGCGTAATATGCGAAGAATTATTTCAGAAAATAATTAGGCAATCCGTGGCAGTTTTTACTCAGTAGTTTTTTATCTGTGTGTAATATTAACTGTGAAACTCTGGAGATATTGTCAGGAACAGAATATAGACATGTGCAACGAGTGTTCCGTGCGACTGCTTCTTTCATCAGTACATCAGAGATTCAGCCAGGACTAATTCAGGGCTAGAGCCCGATTTGCTCACTCAAATTGAGAGCATACAGACTGAAAATAATTAACCTAATCAGCTCAGGCAATTGCAATATGGATTCATGCAACAGGAGCACAAACTTTCTCCAAGTCCCCGCCATCACCAAGGCTCCGTTACGGGCAGCTCAACGGTGACGGAGATTTGATCAGTCATCGAGAAAGTACTGCACAAGAAAAAAAAACCTGTCAAGTACGGGCACAGCCCTGTGGGCTGGGTTTGCATCTAAATCCGTCCTCGTCTCCTTGATGTGCTGGGCAGGGAGCGAAGCAGGCTGCAGAGCCACTGGGTGCCCGCAGCGGTGCTCCATGCCCTCTCCAGCCCCTCTCCACCGCGGGGATGATGCTGCAGCTTGCAGACACAAAACGTGTCCCTTCCCCAGCCGAGAGCAAATGGGGAAACCCTAACCTGGCGTGTAAATGTGCCTCTTCTGCACTTGGAGAGAAAGTCCTGTGCTCCCACCTCCCCGGCCGCACTCGCAGAGGTACCTGCCTCTCCTCCACAGCTCTACACTTCATAATGCAAATACGCTGCCATCTCCGCAAGCTGGGAAATGGGCTATAAAGAGAAACACATGGGAAAACAGGAGGGACAGCACAGAAGATCAAGGAACACGTTTTTTCCCAGGCTGACCTAGTTATTTAACTAACTGGCAGAGATACTCACTAATAAGTAGGAAAGCAATAGTCTGCCACCAGCAGTTTCACAGACGATGCTCGAGTTTACTTAGCTATTTGTCTTAAACCCTGGAAACATCAAATACAGTCTTTTCCATCTTGCTGCTCAACACTTTGCTATACAGTCACTATTCCCGGTTCAAATAAACTCAAATTTCTCAGCGATTGACGAAGGCTGTGATAAGACTTAAATCCAGAGGAACATGGAGGGAACAGATACATAACAGAGACAAGTACATGCATCATTTTTGTTTTCACTTTTGCTGCTGCCACACGAATGTAGAAGCTATAGATGAAGAGATGAAGAGATTTTTCATCCCTCCTAATGCACAGTGAGGACTATAGTCCCCAAAGGATAACAACCAGCTCAACTGCTCTGCGTGGCAGCCGGGAGCTAACGTACCTGTGAATGTCTGGCCAACGGGTAAAGCAAAGGGCACGTCTTTCACGACAACGTGCACGGCTCTCACTACTTTTGTCAGTTCTCCCACCAGCTCTGCCCTTCATGAGAAAATCTTAGATTTGGAGTTCTGCAAATAATACCCAAAATAAGTCATCATCTTAATTCTGTCCCAAATCTTCCATTAGAAACTGCCCTTTCTCCAGGGATGTCAACCCTTGAGGGTTTGAAAGCTGCCGTTCCTGTGCTCACATGGTTACACCAGAATTTCAGCTTGTTTGAAACGCAGGAATAAACCTAAGCAAAACCCAAGTTTCTAACCCTCAGCATTGGACAGAAAAGTTTGGAAAGGGGACCCTGCTGATCTGGGTGGTAAAGTTGATGAAGAGAAAGCTAGTTGACACAAAAAACTCTATGTCTAGTGGAGAGGTTTAGGTGACCCAGCTTGGGATATTCCTGATCAACTAATACAAAGTGGATTTTTTTTTTTTTTAAAGGAGAAGTAGGACTATGTGGGAGGGGGCATGAAGAATATACATCCCATCCCTTGCCACACACAGAGATTTCACTTTCTCCTGGCTTGCCTATATCTAACTTTCTCCAAACTTAAAAAAGCAAGGAACAAAAGAACTGAAAGCCAAACCAAAATTTTTCATTGATCCAGAAAATGGTATTTTGCTTCCATTTTGAATACCAGGACATGTAGATATTCAGGTTTGTTCTCTCTATAGCTCAAACGTGTCTTTCCAGGAATCCACAGAACTGGGATAGTTAGCACAGCACTGGGCTATTCCTACCGACAGGTGGAAAGAGAGGTAAAGAGGCAGGCAGGTATTAAATTGTACAGTTTTAATTTTTTTTTTTATAAATCTTGTGATACTGACCTTTAATGACAAGTGTCTGCAGAAGTGTCATAGTCCACTGTACATTAAAACAATCCTCATAATAGTGTCGGTAAACAGTAAGAATATGACCAGTAAGGTCAAGCACAGGAATAGTTATTTATCTTTAATAGTTATCTTAGTTATTTTGCAGTGACATTTTAATATTAACATACTCTGAAAACATGCATTGTATGCAATAACTTTATTAGGGTCAAATAGATATCACAATATAGATTCATCCACCGAGTAGCTGTAAATTGGTTACAACAATCATAGAAGAGACTAAGCTGTTTTAAGCTAAGATGCTTTCGACATTACAGCTCATACAATAAGATTATATACTGATACACTTTGATCTAGAAATGCAGATGATCAGTTTTGATTAGTATATTGTGCTTCAGACTTTCATTTATGTCAATGCATCCCATTGGGCTGTAGTGAGGAAGGGCTGAGCTTCCCAGGGCAAAATCCAAACGGGCTACAAGCCTGGCTCTGGCTATTTTAGGCTGAGTTCCTCTGAGCCTGGGTTATTTGGTCAATCCAGTTACATTCTCCAGTAGCACCAAGCTAGTGCTCAGAGCAGCGACGGAACAGAGGGATATCTAAGAATCTTTACACAGCACAGATGGAAAGATTTTCTTATTATAAGAGGGTGTAAAGGAATATTTATGCCTTGTAAGGTCCCAACAATACATGCGGTTTTCATGTTTTGCTGTATTAAGCAACAGGGCATTTTCACATGGTTTTGTATACTGATATCTGCACCTCTGTTATCTTAGTTAAATAAATACCTTTGTAAACATATAACACAGTTACTTGGTCCTTATTTTCCACAGCTCACGTTAAAAGATTCACAAAACATCCATAGAAATAGTGATTTATAGAATGAATACTTAGCTGAGTTAACTGGAATAAACATTGGTCAGGTACCATAAATACTACTGAATGCCATTTCAAGGAAAAACATTTTAGTTACAAAGCATTCAGAACTTGGGTAAGCCATATATTCAACTCTGCAAAATATATAAAAGATGCATACTTTTTTAAACATACATTTAACAAAATGTAGTGGCAGAAGTTGAGAAGTTCCATCTACACAGTTCAGACATTTGGTAGTATGAAACTGCTTATCCATGCACTAAATTACAGATGACTCAGTTAATTGAAATAATAGTAAAATCTTCTGAAACAAAAAGGTATAACCAAAACAAATGCTCTGAAGAGTCACAGACAGGCAGTTTTGAAAATTTAGGTGCAATGTTACATGCATGGATATACAGAATAATCTGTAGAAATAATAGTAAAACACTTCCGTTTTTCACCAAAATGCAGAAGGAAATTCCATTATATTATGCATATTAAATACTACAGACTTGAGGCTACAAAATGCTTCTACCATCTTAACACATACAAAACTACCATAAAGTTATCTCTACAGTACATACTACAACACTGACGCCAGGTCACCACCTGTGATGAGCACGTCCCCTGTATCTGGCTAGTCAGGGTAAAAAAGGCCAACTCCAGCCCACTGGCCACCTCCCATCTGTCTCAGGAGGTAGGCTTACACCTTCAATTGACATTAAACACCGTGTTATAGTATTAATTTATGTAAAACCCTTAAAAACCTGGTGCAACTGAAACTTGAGACCTGTTAAACTCTCTACATGTGAGGGATGCAAGAGCTTGTGCTGCGTGAACCCTAAATTTGATTAGTGAAGGAGGTTGGCCCACTCTGGCCGTAGCTCTGGGACTGGCCGTATTCACCCACCTGGCCGTAGGAGCCCGGCTGGTTGTAGCCACCGGCCGGCCCATAGCTGTCTTGGTTGTAGCCACCTTGGTTGTAGCTGCTGGTCTGCTTCTCTACATGTGAGGGATGCAAGAGCTTGTGCTGCGTGAACCCTAAATTTGATTAGTGAAGGAGGTTGGCCCACTCTGGCCGTAGCTCTGGGACTGGCCGTATTCACCCACCTGGCCGTAGGAGCCCGGCTGGTTGTAGCCACCGGCCGGCCCATAGCTGTCTTGGTTGTAGCCACCTTGGTTGTAGCTGCTGGTCTGCTTCTCCATGGTGTCCGGAGCGTGCCGCTGGCCGGAGGAATGCCAGCCTGTCTCCTTAAACACAAACCAAATGTTGCCTGCCCAGAGGATAAAGTTCAAGAAGCCAAAGACCTAGGTGGGGAGAAGAGGAGCTCGTCACCCGGCAGCCGCGGTCTCCCAGCCCAGCCTAATGTTTTGGACCTTGCATGGTCTTGTGAGAAGTCAAAGCTGCTCCCAGTCCATCCTTCTCCCAAAACCTGCTGGAAGATTTTCTCAGCTTTGGAGCAAATTCACAAATTCACCTCCCTTCACTGTAGCTCACAAGGTATCTGTTTTCCTTTTTGTTTCCAAAAAAAGGTCGAGTTTTTAGGCCAAAATAATTTTTTTTGGTTTGAAAACATAGTTTAAAGAAACTGTGGAACGATAAAGTTGAAAGAAAATATTTTAAAAGAGAGACATTAATTGCTCCACTGGCCTAAAGTAATTTCTTTTGTTTTTTAAACATTCTGAAGACCCATTTTATGTTGGTTTTTTTGAGGATTTTGAAAGGTATCTGCAAGGCACAAACCGTTTTCTTCCTAAGGGACCGCACATACCCCTTTTCAAAAGCATCGCAGCGAGCAAGTTAAAAGCAGACGGGCCAACCAATGCACTTGGGCAGACACTTTGCTTTCTCCCCGTCCCAACCCTGCCCGCTCGTCCCGCAGCTGCTCCACGGCAGAGAGCTGATGTGCGTCACACTCTGCCTTTCCCCGCAGCAAGACCGTGCTTCCAATTAAACCATGTCAGCAAACTGGTTTACACCAGCTGATTTAGGTCAGTGCATGGGTAAAAGAGATGAAAATACGTTTGCAAGGTAAGGGTGAAAAGTGGTAATCAAAGTCACTTACAACCGAAGTGTTGAGGCTTGACATAACAGGGCTGCGAACAGGCAAGCATTTGTTGGACTGCTGTTTGCAGGCAGACATCAGTAATAGCACTTCGTCTGGGTCGGTCGCAATCTTTACATCTGACAGTCCTTTAGCCCAAGCAGATGAGCCCACTAGCCACAAGAACGAGAAGACCACTGTCACAATGAAATCCTAAAAGACAAATTAGTTAGAATCATTATACTGGTGTGTCCATTGGAAAGAAAAATATTAAAAATCACCAGAAAACTGGAAGCTTGTGACAGAGGAGAGAAAAAACAAGAGCTTGTTATTTCGTGGAAGGTTGTGATTACTGTCGTCACCTGCGGAGCTAATTTTCAGAAGCGCTTGACGTGCCTAATGGGGCAGAGCCCTTCGGCTGCCGTTTGCATGCCCGACCCCGGGGCCAGATTCCCACAAATGCATGGCCGGTACCCAGGATGCTGGAATGCCTCGGAAATCCGGCTGTTGACAACACCTGGTTGATGAATTGGGATCAATTAAACAACGTAGGTGCCTGGAAAGGAGCTGGGCCCTGCTGAGGGCTGACCCTCACCCTGGGTGCTCCGACAGACAAGCTGGGGTGGGTTTCCGATAGGAAGCGTTTCCATCCGCGGCAGCATCTCAGGGAGAACCTGAAACTGGCTAATCCTCAGCTACCAGATGAGGAGTTTTCTCACCAGCTACAGGTAAGGCCGGACGTCCCTGCTGCATGAGCCACGCAGCCGCTGATTGTCACGAGTGAACAAATAAACAGCAAGACTCGCCAAGCGCAGGGCCTCCTCTGCTGCCCCCCGTCCTGGTAAAGCATTTGCTCCTAATTCCCATCCACATGAAAAGAGGGGAGAAGGGGTGGCGGTTCCCCCAGGATCCTGCGCCTCCGAGCAGCTCTGAGCCACCATGCTCACTTTTCCCTCAAAAGACTCTCAGGAGCACACACAGGCATAAACTTCTCCTAGTCTTAGCCAGAAGAAGTGGCCAAGTGACACTGTTATTGTGTGGGTTTTGGGGGAAAGGAGGGAGGAGGTGTGAGTTTTCAAGCTTTCTTGTGTCTTGCTAAAACAGAAGAGCCTTTCTGCTGGCGTATTTCATCCCATCTGTCAGCCCGCAACAGATGGTAGAGGTGCCAAAGTCTAACATACCACTAACTGCATCACTGCATCTTGATATCCCACCTCCCATGGGGGCTGCTTCCCCTTCCCCCTTACAAAGTAAAGGTGTACACGGAAGGAAGGGAGACTGTTCATTAAGAACACAGCATTTCAGGTTGCTATCCAAAGAAATACGTGATCCCTTGGAAACGTCATTCTCCTCCTCTACAAGCACACCTGACATTTGGGGAAGGAGCTCTCCACGGCACCGCAGGGACGGAGGACCCAAGCTTCTTCCACGATGGAAGACGCACCAGTCAATAAACCAGCCATACAAGCAAGCCATGAACAAAGGATTTCTCTGCTCACGCAGATGGGATTAAATTAACTGTGCTTGGATGCCTTCCCAAAGGATACATCCTTCTCTTTTAACAGTGCCACAATTTGTTCTCTGCCGGCCTGTGTCTGCTGCCGAGCTTTGAGTTGCTCTGACCTCCCTTCATGCTGGCCAAATGTGCTCTCTTGAAGAGCATGAAGCCCAGGAGCTGACAACTATCTTAACACCCAAAAAGACTCCGGGCAGGCAGAGACATATAGCCCAGAGTAATTTTTCTTCTCTTTCCAGCAAAAGAAATTACTGTATCTTGTATGCCCTTAGCAGTAAGTGAATGAGAAATGGACTCCTAGAGGCAACAATTCAACTGCAAACATCTCCTAAAAATTCCAGCTGGTAGAAACACCAGATATTCACTGAGCTGTGGATTATTATGGGATATGCTCTTTATTTGCTATGAGGCTTAACACGTTATCTACCTGGATGCCAAGCCCACGTATAGGTTCTGATTGACGCAATAGACAGGGACGCACCAGAGTTTTGGGGAATACGTCTTTTAAATGACAAGCAATTCTCTCTCAATGCCACCACACTATTAGACTTTGCAAGCTAAATCAAGCTCTGCGACCAGTGCCTTGGCAATAACAATAACACAAATGCATAACAGCAGGTAGAAATATGAAGCAGAGACAAATTGACCAAAACCAACAAAATGTAGGAGCTTAAACTTGCTAAAAAGAGGGAAGTTTTAAAAGTGAGCAAAGTTCTTCAAGCAGGTGACAGCAGCAGGCGTTCAGACCTGCATCAAACTCACAGAGCCTGACCACATGTTGGCGAGGCATTTGCACAACTCGTGGCACAAATGACTGCAATCTGCATGAGCCCCTCACTCTAATTACTAGTAGTTCGTGTCTTGAGCTATAAAGTCCTGCCAGGAATATGCAGTAGCACTGTGCGGTTGAGGGGCTGGTCCTGAAGGGACTAAATCTTTCATGTTATTTCTCAGGTCTTGTCTTCTCCATCTCACCCCATCCTCCAGCCTTCTGCTGACCTCCCCTGCTCCCCTGCACCAGGGTGTCCACACAAGCCTAATCCTACCCGATCCTGCCCTCTCTGCCACCAATTCCCCTGTGTGAGAGCAGATCAGAGCCTTGGGGAAAGGGTCCCTGCGCTTTGGGGGCTGGGATACGCCCTTTTACGCAGGAACTCCCCAAAACTGTAAAGTCTGGTTGGGTGCAAGAAACACACTGAGCCAAAAAGGAAAGATCACACAGCTGGGCTCGAAGAACCACCCGCCCAAACCCCTCCATCAGCTGGAGGACATGAGCAGTCCCAGAAATACGTTACAGGACAGAAAGGCTAACGAAACACGAGGGTTTTTTCTGCAGGTGCTCTCGCCAAGGCTACGTGGCCAGACTCAGGCTCTCGGAGGATTTGTTCCGTCTTCTCTGCGCCGTGCAAGGAGCAAAATATACAACTAGAACCAAATTGCATCTTCCTCTTTATTCTGAATCTTCGCTAACCTTCAGCTTTGGCTGGAACTTGAACCTCTCTTGTTTTCAAGTGGGCTTGGATTTCTGGCTGAACATTTTCACAGCTCTGGGTGGAACAGTTACAGGATAATGACATGCTGAAAATAAAAGTGAATTTCAAGCTAAGCTGTTCTGTGGCTTAATGTCTATCTGGGGAATTTCTCCTTGGTAATTAAAGCCAGAGTGTCTGCATACTAAAACAAATCTTGCATTTGAATGTCTAATATCCCCATAGCATGGGTGATTTTTTTTTTTCCTTTGGAACAAAGTAATTTTTGTAGTTGTTCTCTTGAAATGGTGTCTACAGATCTCTTCAGTGTGTACTGTTGTATGGTTACGCTATGCTCCTAATTACAAAGTTTCTATCTCCCATCTCAGCTGAGATAACTTTGGTCTGCCTGCAGGTGCCTTTGGGAAGGAGGCAAAACAGGAACATGTAGGAGAAAGCAGAAAACAAGACTTAAAATATGCTGAATATCCAAGGAGGAAGTTTTTAAGAGCCTGAAGTATGTGTAACAAAAAATTCTTGCTGCCTTTTTCAAGTTGAAACTTGCTATTACTGAGTTTGCCAAAAATGCCTACTTGGAACAATTTTATATATTATATGTTTTAGAATAGAACTGTGAATGTGCCTTTTTTTTTCATGGTAACTGAAACATTTCTCCTTGCCTTCAAGCTACTGGCTTTTGCAAAATGCCCGTGTTCGAAGGGGACAGTCGTTTAAGTCTCCCGAGCACAGTTTCGGATCAACCAGCGCCCAGCACAGCCTCACCGGGCCAAAACCATCTGCAGAAGCTGCTTGTTTGCTCGGCAAGGAGACGCGTTTCGCCCGCGCGAGCGGCCGGCGGCTTCAGCCGCCCCC